GAAATTTAGAAAGTGTCGCTAAATGCCACTACCAAAGTAGGAAACTTGCTTTGTAGTCTAGATCTAACAAATATTGAAAGGATGATAGACAAATTTTGAATCCTTACAAAGGTAGTTTGCTTTTCTGTTGTAGCTGTCTTGCTGTCTGTGTTCATCTGTGTGCACAGTGGTTTTGGTGTGGTAATTTCCCAATGTCATGAGAGTAAATGCATCTGTTTCTGTGTTGATCATACTAGCAAAGCGTAGACTAATTCGGCCTTGGTTTTTTGGTTTTTTTTGTCAGTAGGTTTTTGTTTGAATTTCTCATCAGGGCAGCTTAGAGACATAATTCTCCTCTGAGCCTTTAAAATGTTTTAGCACTGACGCTGCTGAAAGCAGGTACTTTTGTTTTTTAAATAGTTTAAAATTTCAGTTCACAATAATCTGAAGGGGGACTGTGGGAAAATTCTATCAGGCCCAGGATTTTTTTGAGTGAGGCTGGTGTGGTGGTACCCACTTTTGGGTCTAACAGCATTGCTGGAAGTATCTCTCCTTAAATCTGAGAAAAGCGCTGCAGTAGAGGATGTAGGACAAAATGTAATTTGTTCAAAGGCACCATCATTTTCCTACAGTATTTCAAGGTCCATAGAGAAAAGAGGACTCTGAATGCAGAGGCTCGGAATAAGGATTCAGTTTCCTGCTGCCCTCACAGTCCAAAGCAGACAGGTTTTCTCAAGTATGTAACCGGAAGGATTGTTGTTTCATTGCAGTAGGTCATAGCTGTTGACTTGGAAAACATTTTCCTTTTTTTGCTTCTATCTCCTAAGGGAACTACAGCTTTTCCGGACAAAATATGATCATCCTGGTTGAGGATGGGAACTCAATCTTTCTTTAAAGTCTCACTGAGAATAAATGAACTGAAATATTAGTGTACTCAAGTGCCTTTCAGACTGTTTTTCTTTTCATCAGAAGGAAGGTGCCACATACAGTCTATTAGAAATAATAAAAGTTTGTCTCCAGTTCTGATTGCAATTTATATGTAAAGTGGGTTATTACTGAGCATTTCCACAGGCTAAAGAAGGGAGTTGGCATCTAGTCTTAAACATTAGCTATAGTTCTTGTTAGTGTTGAATTCAGTGCAAAGATTCGGTTTACTGCTTTGCTTTCGTTGTGTAACTAAGTACACTGACTACCATGACATTCTGCTGCTGCTTGTTTGTCACTATAACTTAAGACAGCTTGACATACAGAGTTTGTAGGTAAACACAGTAAAGGCACTGAGGATTTGATCCCTGGGCTTGGTATGTATCTTTTTTTTATTGTAAAAGCTACATGACAGAGAAAGGCAGTGATGTGTGCAGTATTTTAGAGATTACTTTTATGATAGATCACGATTTTCTTAATTGTCATTAGCACTGTATCTGCTGCACTGAGCCATCGTTCTCCACAAGTATGCCTGTGTTTACTAACAAAGATCTTCTGGTTTTAGTTGTGTTCTTTCAGTTTACTTCAGAGCTGCAAATCTGTGCTTTTTACATGACAAATTGGAATCCAGTATTATTGTCACTATTTGAAGGAAATGTCAGGCAGAGAGGACATGCAGACAGTGATGTGATTCTCCTTCCATATCTTTTATATAGTACTTTCAGAATCATCATGGAATTAGTAGAATAGAAAAGTTATCTTTGATGTTTTTTTTCCAATCTTATTTTTCTATTTGGAAATGGGAGGTCTCAGCTGTTTTCTACTGGATCAGTCTCCTCTGCCAGGCTTTACTTGAGCAGGGCAGACACATATAATACCTTGTTGAATTTGATATGCCATATTTAATAAACCTTGTTTAAATGGAGGTTTCATTTCTATAATGGCATCACTGTGAAGTGGAAAAAAGAGAAAGTTTAATTAGTTATAGGAGTGTTTTTTTCATGTCAGTCTTTTGATAAGACAGGCTCTGCAACTTGGTATTTCCTCATGAAGTGAACTCTGAATACAGATCGCCTGTGTTAAACAAAAGGTAGTGGCAAGTAATTCCACCCTYTTTCAGCTATTAAATAATCAGTAATTATTTTTTGTGTTGGAGTTTGGGACAGTATTAAAAATGGTACTATTGGCAGTCTGTAAGTGTTCAGCAAATTGTTGTAATTTATTGTATTTCAAAATCTCTTTTCCTGCATACTTTAGGTGTGACTATTTTTTTTCCTTATTGTGATGAAAGTAATGGTTAAGCATTTTCCCAGTGTTAGAAAAATAATTGGAGAAGCCTTAATGGGCTTCTGTGGGTTATCAGTCCTGTTAATGACTTAGTGGCCTTGGGTGAGTGGGGCTTCCCAGAAATCTGACTTCTTCAGAAATTTGCTGGAACTTGCTCTTTGCCCTGCTCTTCCTGGATCGTGGCCCATTGGGCACAGCTGGGACCAGTATAAAAGAGGTGCAGAGGTGCAGGTAGGGATCCTGGACTCTTCGAGGCTGTAAAGGAACATGAGGTGCACACAGGTACGGGTGAAGGGTGTTTTGGGGACCAGAATGTCTGTGGGATGGGTCTGTGAGGAACCCGAACACCCATTGAGGAAGGGAGGCTCTGTATGACATCTGGGTGTCAGGGCATGGGGTGGATCTGTAGGGGAGCCAGGGAGCTGAGGAACAGGTAGGGGGAGTTCCATAGGGAAAGAGGCTTCTGGAGAGTGCAGAACTGTAGGGGACCCATGCATCCATGGGACATCCAGAGATGGCTCAGTTGTGCAGGGATGGGCCCGCATGGACTGGGAGGGGATTTGTGTGGGACCCAGGTGTTTGGGAGGGGGAATCTGTAGAAAAATCAAGCATCTGGGGTGGGGTTTCCAGTGGGTGCCCAGAAGTTCAGATGGCTCTAACCCCACATTCTGCAGGTATCCATGGCGGGCTGGGTGCTGTGCGTGACGCTGGTGCTGGCAGCACTGGCAGGGGCTCAAGGCCTGTCCAGCCAGACTTTCGAGCGGGAGCACGTGGATGACCCCCAGACCCAGCTGCCAGCGCGTGATTACTGCAACATCATGATGGCACGGCGGGGAATGACAGCGCACAACTGCATGGCATTCAACACCTTTGTGCACGCCCCAGGCGAGACCGTGGCACGTACCTGTTCCCAGCAGCCCAATGCCCAGGGGTACTACACCACCCCGAACAAGATGAGTGTGACCATCTGCCTCCTGAGTAGCGGGAGCCGTTGGCCACACTGCAAGTACCAGAAAGCGCAGCAGCAGCAACACTACGTGGAGGTGGCCTGCCAGGACAACCTGCCCGTGCACCTCCACAATACCTTCCCATAGTGAGGCATTCTCGAGGCCCTGGAATGAGGCCTGGCTTGAGGGGTGCCGATTCTCTCTCCCGTCAGTGGCTCTGTCAGTGCTGGCAATAAAGGAATTTTCACAGGCTTTGACTCCAGCATCAGTTTCTGGGGGCAACATGTGCCCTTACCCCTCTCTGGGTGACTCAGCCTTGTCCAAGTTGGACTTGTTCCCCATGTGACTTATAAATCCCTGTGTTTTCCCATACTCCTGGGTGTCCATATCTTGTTAGGGTATCTCTGAGCTCTCCTGTGACTTCTCCCATTTCTTGGGTGCTCCACAACTCCCATGGGTGCCCCATAGCCACCACCAGCCTTCCAGSCCAAAGGCACCCTGATCTCCTGGATGTGCACCCAGGGCTCTCCCCAGTATCCTGCCCCTTTGGGTTTCGCGTTGCTTTCCTGGATGCCCCATAATCCCCAACAGGGTTTCCCATCCTCCTTTGTGCCTCATAATCCCCCCTGCATCCCTCCAAATTCCCCCATATGTGCCCCATAAACTGTCAGGTGTCCCATGCCCCACATGCTTCTGACACCATCCCTGACATCTCTGGGGCTGAAGCTGCTCCCCCTTGGAACCCCCATGGGAGTGAGCCCTGGCCGAGACTACAGATAGCCCTAAATCACCATCCCACACACACACCTAATGCACACACAGCTTTCCTCAAGTCTATGGGGAAATGTTCCTGAAATCTAGGCTGGGAACTTGATAATAGTAAAATGAGAAAGGAGATGATGCCATTTTCAGCAGAATTTTATCTTTGGATGCATAAGGCTGTGGAGGTACTTACAGGAATGTAGAGTGGGGCTTAGAGGTATTATAGAAACATTTAATTTCCTCTTCTCCCATTCTAGCTCAGTTTAGGCTTTTAACAAAGATAAGTGTCAATAAAGTACTAGRGAGATTTTTTTGGATTCAGAAGACAGTAGTTGTTTGTGAGAAAGAGTAGAGAGTTTTGTGTTGTTTTCATCCGTACTATAGAGGACTGTAACAGRGCTTAACTCAGAAACTAAGACAGCAAGAGAAAGATGAGGAAGAGGCTGTAKTTCACAAAATGCCCTCTATTTGGAAAGATCCCAAAGGAAATTGCACTGTATGCTGTACGAATGGCTAACATTTGGCAACATTGAAATTAATATCCTTGTGGGGCAGGATACAGCAGKTTTTTTGTGCTCAGCAATATAGTTCTACTTTAAAGAAAATTGAAGGCTCTCTTGGTTCTTGAAGCACAGGGAAATCTCAAGAATGCAGAATGCAGTTTCCTATTTGGATGACAAAAAGGTTGATCTTCCTCTTCAGGGTGTGCATGTGTGCACATGCGTGTGAAGGGTTGTGTCAGTTGTAATTACAGCTGCCAAGACTTCAGCCACAGTAAAATAGTCAAGTCTTTGGTGGAACCAAAATTTTCCATAAAGTGCATAATGGCCCAGGACTTTTCAAATACCTTAACATATTTACTTTGGAAAACAGGTGGTGCTATGAAGATACATTTTTGAAATGTATTGCTAAAACTCTCATTTGATAATAGCAATCATGGTCTGTCGAAACATGATTTGTTTCCTGTGCATTAAAGACAAAGATCGTGTACAGTTCATTATGTAATTTTCCTTGCTAATGGCTGCAAGTCAACGTGGTAACTGAAAACCAAAAGCCACTTCAACAAAATAATAGAGACAAAACTAAGGGAAAAAACCCAAGTCTCTCATGAATTTTCCTTTACCTTTTATTGTTTTCACTTCCTCTCATTCACRTTTTCCTCTTTTGGTTTGAATTTAAAAAAAGAGATCAGCAGATCAGTAAATGCAACGAGCGCCTCTTTTAATGAACTGGGGTTTATAAGCACTTTTCTGAGCAGTTCCAGTCTGCCATATTTATCACTGTGCATTCCATGAATGAAACGGTTATGGTGAGTTTCGTTAACTGAGACAGGCTGGAGTCATGGTATGGAATATCACTGGTGCAACGCTTTTCTTTGCAGAATGGCTGAAACAACCAGCAGCTGGTTACTGGTRTAGACAAGGAGGACTTGATCTGTGATTGCACATTGCTTTGTCCTTATCATTGAGATCTCAGTACCTTTCAGCAGTTTCCTAATATGGCATAAATAGGGCTTGACATGTGATTTTTTTTTTTATCAATTTCATTAAGTGAGTTTTTAAAATTTTATTTTGTGGTACAAGTTTTTGGTGTATCTGACATTGATTATCTTCTTAGCTGGTAAAGTATTGCCACAGAGTGGATATTGCATTTTGGAAAAGCGAGCAGCAGTGCCTTTAAAATGCGGTCTTTTAAATTTTGTGGCTGTTACTTATTATGAGAAGATATTGAAGAAATTCGGGAACAGAAATAACCTGAAGAAATAGTRTTCTAGGATACATTGTGCATTGTCAAAAACCTGGCCTGACCAATGAGCACTGAGACTAATTGCAGAGGGATGGGAGGGCTGGTACTTGAGATAAATAAGTTGCCTACAGAATTAATTTCTCCTGGATATACTTGTTTGGAACATATGCAGTAGCAGAATAAATAATTGCTTTGTCAGTGAAAGCTTACATRTTGTGTGTGAAATATTCAAAGGAAATTTCATCCAAKYCCTAAGATGCTYGAAACGTTCAGATTTACAGAAAGCTGAATTGATAGAAGAGAATTTGGATTGCAGAAAGTAGCTGAGCGCATGAAGTGTAAGGCTGCTCTGTTTTGGAGTCGTTTCAGTGATACTATTTTTGAAGGTATCTTTTTTTTCCTTTTGATTTGCATTATTCCTTTAGTTTAAAAGAATTCGGGCCATAATTTGTGGCCATAATTTCTCGTTTCTTTCTGAAATGCTTTTGAAGGATTTTGTGGAAATAATAGGCTGCAAATCTTACAGTATTTAGTCGTGTTGATCCTGTCTGCATTTTGGTGTATATAAGAAAGCTGTTGCTTGAAGTTGCATCCTTATATTGGAGATGGAATGGGTGTGTAGTATTGAAGTCTATTCAATGACTTATTTAGAATCAGAGGCAGAAAAAGTTTGGAAAAGGTCCCTAAGATCATGATGTCTGACTGTGAAAGTATTAGTATTGAATTACTCTGATCATTCTCTGGAAAAGCAGGAATAAGTCAGGTCTGAGTCATATCAGTGGAGTTTTAAGGTTATGTTTTTATGGTACGAGCAAAGATAATGCCCCAGTGTAAATAAGCAGCATCATGTTAACAAGGTCATATTTTCTTCTGAAATTGTGAAGTGCCATCCATGTTGTTTATAAAGTGTCTCAAATTAGGAAATGAAAGAGTGCTGAAAATAAGAAAGACATAGCCAGCAGTAGCATGTTGAGGGTAGCATTGAAGTGTGTCCAGGCTGCGGAATAAAAAAAAAAACCGACTGAAAGTAAGGAAATTTTAGGTGGCAAAACAGGATGTCTTCTTTCATATAGTGATTGATCTATTAGCACACCAGAAATCTGGAGAATCATTCTTTTCATTCTATTAAAACTGAAAAAAAAAGCTTAATTTAGCAAAGGTATGCCTGGCAAATATGGTAGGACCTGGGCATGATCTATAAAAGGGATTTTACAGCGAGCTCTTCCTTGATGGCAAGGTTATTTTGACTACTTRGAGTAGAGGGACTGATACTCTTTGCAGTGAACGTAGGCAACTGGTGCCTTTACAATATCTAACCTAAYTTGGCTTAGTAAAGTATTTCCAGTTAATGTGACCTTTTTTTAAAACGTGATGGTCTGCAATTTTCCTCCAATATATTGTTCCTGCAATATGGTAATTAGATCCCTAGAAAATGTTCAAGGAAGTAAAGGTTCTTCACTGATAATTTTAAGGTCAGTAAAAAAGCAGAATTTACTTACCCTACTTATCCTGTGTTACATAGACAAAGTAAATTCACGATTAGGCTCTGAGAAAAACCCCAAATTCCTTCATGTTTCCAGTCTGATTTGCAGATATCARGCTGATCCTTTGGATGTGAAAGTTATGAAATCAAGCATTTAGAAATCCTTAAGTACTAAACTTTGAGGCTGTTGCCTTTACAAGTCCTGTTGTTAATAGATGGTATGATACAGCCTGCGTGCTCATATCTTGCACCTTTTCTGTGGAAAAGATTTTCCGTGAACTGGAGATGAATCATCATTAACTTAGAGGGC